TCTAGACTGCGAAGAGACTGAAAGCATGGGAAGCAAGCACCTAAGGCAGTGGCTAAAAAGCATAATCAACTGGAAGTGAAGATAATCTGATGATAAATACACAGACTCTACTTAGAATCTCTGAAAAAAGAATTACGTTTACAATGCGGCATAAAACCAGCCACTTGCATTGTTTACAAATGATGTTCTCAGCAGGCAACAAACGTAAAACGTGTCCTTTCACTACTAGCTTCCCTCCTGCCCTCCCCCGCAGTCGCCCCCCCCCTCCTACCTTCCTCCCCCTCCCTCTGTCTGCATTCCCCCCTGCCCCCTCCCCCCCAAATCACTTTTCAGAAGAGACGTTGATTCCTTTTCGACAGCATTTTTGTGCGAGTTTCGTGCCACCAAGAGCCATTACGGGCGATTACTCTCCGGGAAGATTGTGTTGGCTTTAGCAACTTGTTTTGGCCGACGTTGCAGCTACTGCCCAAATTACTGTTTATTTAACCTTGATTGAAATTTATGATAATGCACCGGACGGTATTTATTTTTTTCGGGCGGTTATTCCTCTTCTTGAAGCCACTTTGCGGGCTCGGCCAGGCAGAGTTCAGGCCAGCGTTGCTCATTTGTTTTTCGCTCGTCCTCCCGGTTGATAGGAGGGGAAAATTTTACCTTCGGAGAACTCGTCCACTAAACACTATGATCAGCGCGGGTCGAGAGCTTGAGGTCGAGGAGAGCGAGGCAGAATGGAGCTTATAAAATTCTTCGCCGCTTCCACTCTGTGCTTCAGGAAAGATATTTGTAATTCGTGTTGGTCTGTTTATGATGATTTTTTTTTTAATGAAACACAGCGGTAGTGGTTATTATGATGGTAGAGGTAATAATGAAAACATTAACGTTGATTATCATTATCTTCATTATTATAACGATATTGGTAACACTAAAACCATTAACAATGCTAGAAATAAAAACAACCGGAAAATCAACAGCTGTATGAAATGAGATTTGTGAATCCAGAAAAAAAATCTACAGTGATAATCCTTGATGAAAAGCGCGCATCAAAAATGACGATGAAAATTATATGCACGATAAAGATGAAAAAGTAAGATTGCAATGATATTCGTGTTTACTATCATTATCATTTTTGCTATCATTAAAGTTGTCATCATTATTGTTGTTATTATTGTTGTTAATGATGTTTTTATTATCAATATTATTGTTATTCTAGTTTTATTATTCTCATCATCGCCATCATCATCATTAATGTCATTATCGCTATTGTTATTATTATTATTACTATTATCATCATCATCATCATCATCATCATCATCATCGTCATTATTAATATTAATATTTATTTTTATTATTATTATATTATTGTTATTATTACTATTACCATTACCATTACTTTTACCGATATCATTATCATAATAGATCATTATTGTCATTACCCTTTTATTACTATTATCATTATCAATATTGTCTTAATCATTATTTTTCTGCCATCATTATTATCATTATCATTATTATCATCATCGTTATTATTATTATCAACATCATTATTATCATCATTATCATTTTTTTGTTATCATTAATATCTTTTTATCATTATCATTACTATTACTATCTTATTAGTATCATTGTTGTTATTTTGATTATTATTATTGTTATTAATAACATTGTTATTGTTATCATTATTATTCCTATCACTAATTTTATTCATGTTATTGTTATCTTTATTATTCCTATCATTAATTTTATCAATGTTATCATTGTTATTTACATTATTACTATTTTTGTTATTATTGTTATCATTATCATCATCAATGTTAATAATCTTTATTGATAATAATGATAATGATAATAACATTATTTCTTATTGTTTTCATTTTTGTTATTATTATTGTCATTATCATTATCATTATCAATACTGTTGTTTATAATTACTATCATTACTATTACTCTTATTGCTGTCTTTACAATCTCTATCATCATCATTAATATAATTGTTGAATTGTTGTTGTTATCATTATTATTACTATTTTTATTTTTTTTATATTTTATAATTATTATCATTATTTCTGTTTTTATAATCTTAATCTCCATGATCATCATTAATGTTATTGGTGCTTTTATTATTCCTATTATCATTATTTTTACTTTATCATTATCATTTATTATTATTATTGTCAGTCAAATCATTATTGTTATTATTATCATTATCATTATTGTTATTATCATGTTTACTGTTATCTTTATTTCTATTATTATTATCATTATTTTCAATATTATTATTATAATTGTTATCATTATTACTATTGCTATTACTATAATTTTAGCTATGATAATAATTATTATCATTATAATTATTCATGTTAGAGTTATTACTATTGTCATTATTATTAGCATAATTACTAGAATTATTTTTGTTTTAATGACATTAGTAATAATGCTAATATTGATAATAATAATGATGATAATAGAAATAATGATAATGATAATAATGATAACGACAACAATAATAATAATAATAGTAAAACTTATAACATCATGTTAATTTTCATATTTAAAATGAAATATATATTCTTAGTAAATTATTGCTGCCAGTATTCCAATATCAATAATAATACAAATGATAACATTACTTTGACATTGTTGCCACCTACCGGGGTTTTGGATTTTAAGGAAGCCCAATTTTGACTTACCTAATTAGTAATAATGATAATAATGATCGTAGAAATAATAATGATAGTAATGATAATATAATAATGATAATAATAGTAATAATGCTAATAATGTAATAATGTAATAATGATAATAATGATGATAATAATAGTAATAACAATGGTAATAATGATAATAGTAATCATAGTAATAATAATGATGATGATGATGATAATGAAAATGATCATAATAACAATAATGGTAAGAATGACCATGATAGTAATGATAACAATGATAATAGTAATGATGGCAATATCAACGACAATAATGATAATGACGATGATTGTAATGATAACAATTATAATGAAATGATGGTAATAAGGATAATGATAATCTTGATAATAATCATAATGCTTTTATCTGTAATAATGATAATATCAATGATAATAATGATGATAATGATAATAATATGTAAGACAAAGGAAAAAATGGAAATGATAATGATAATAATGATAATGATAGAATGATGATAACGATTAATTAATGATGATCCTGGGAATGATAACCATTGCCTTTATCATCGTCTTCATAATTGTTCACATTATCGTTATCCTTATTATTAATATTATAATTATTGTTGTTATCATGATTGTCGTTATTACTGTTGTTGGTGTTACTATCATTGTCATTATCATCACTGTAGTAGTTTTGTTTTGCTATTATTATTAATGTCATTATCATTCTTTTTGGTAGTAATAGTAGTAGTAGTAGTGATAATATTATTATTATCAATAATAGTATTACTATTGTTATTATTATCATCATTACTATTGTTATTATTGGTTAATGTTATTATTGTTGTTGGTATTATTATTGATATTGTTGTTGCTTATTTTGTTGATGCCCTTATTAGTAGTAGTAGTATCACTATTGTTATGACTATCAATATTGAAATCAAATTTAATGTTATTATTGTTATTGTTATTCTCATTACCATTACTATTATTTTCTGTGTTATCATTATTATTATAATTAATATTATTAGCATATTACCATCACATCATTAGCATTATTATTATTGTCATTAACATTATTATCATCATCATTATTGTTGTTGTTATTACTATCATCATGTATGATTGATATTACTATTATTATTAGAAGTAGTAGTAGTAGATGTATTAGTAGCAGCAGCAGTGGTGGTAGTAGTTTTTTTTATTGTTATTATTGTTATATTTTTATTATTATCATTTTTTTTATTATTATTTTATATTATTATTATTATTATTATTATTATTATTATTATTATTAAAGTATACTGTTAGTATTATCATCATTATAAGTTTATAATGATAGTAATAAGAATAATGAGTATAATTACTATCATTATTATTTCTATATTATTATTATTGTTATCATCATCATCATCATCATTATTTATTATTATTATTATTATTATTATTATTATTATTATTATTATTATTATTACTATTATCATTATTGATAATCTCATAATTATTAGCCTTCTTATAAACATTATTGTTGTTGTTGTTATTATAATCATTATTATTAGTAGTAGTATTGATATCATTCTCATTCTCATTCTCATTCTCATAACTACTATTATCACTATTGATAATATTATTAACCTTGTCCTTATTATCATTGTCGTTGTTGGCTTTCTTCTTATCATTATTTATATTATCATCATCATTATATTGTTTAATTATTACTATCATCACGATTATTATTGCTAATATAATTGTAATTGATATTGTTATTCTATCTTTTATTGTTATTAATATCCTTAATGTTTTTACCATTGTTATTTTTCTCATTGTTATTGTTATTGTTACTTTTATTATTATCATTATTATTATTATCATCATCATCATCATCATCATCATCATCATCATCATCATCATCATCATCATTATCATTATCATTATCATTATCATTATCATCATCATAATCATAATTATTATTATTATAGTATTTGTGTTATTCATGATGATGCTCATGGTTATGATGATGGTGATTATTATTATTGATCTAATAGTGGTAGTGATAATATATGCTCGAAATAATGGCAGTGATAACAAAAGAAAAACGACAACCCTGTTACTGTAGTAAGAACAGAACAGTAGCAAATGGAAGTGGTAGTAGTAGTGAAAATTAAGAATGAAAAAATAAAGATGCAGTGATATGTAAGACAAATGGCACATAAGCTGCCCGATGAATGAATAGAAATGAGCGAATAGAAGAAAGAGGGAAAGGCAGAAAGCAAGACGTCGTCTGCACTTTACGCCCGTCGCCCTTCGCTTGCCTCGCTCAGCTGATTCTTGCCAAAACAATCCCCCGACGCGCGACCGAGTGGGTGTTGCTCACCACACTGGATTCTCGTGTTTTCGCCTGAGTTACTCGTTTCAGGAAAAGTCCCCTGTGAGAGTTGATTTCCTAAATGGGAAAGAAAATGTGATTATGGAGATCCGTTGAAGGAGAGAGATTATAAGATAAAGAAGGAGAAGGGGAGCATAATGGTTTGATTTGGGTGCATCTTGTTTCTCTCCTCTCTTCTTTGCAAAGAATTTTCCTTCGGGCGGTTGTGACGTTGCTCTCCTGTGCGGGCTTGCAGTGCAGTGCTGTGCAACGGCTGCAGTGGAACGACGGCGGAATCCTTTGTGTGACGAGAAAGATGTCGATTCCTTGATTGTAATGGATATCAGTGATTCGAATTTGAAAAGCAGATGCCTTATGATAGACATAGCGAAGTTTATCAGGAATTTTACATTTTTTACTTAATTATTCAGGAATGTATATATTCGTTCACTGATATATATAAATATTCTTTTGTCCGGAATATTGGTAGATGATAAAAGGCAATGATTTGGATTTTTGAGAGTTGGTGGGTAATGATATAATGCAAGAATGTTGTGGTTCCTTATTCAGGTCTTCAGATGTATATATTTTCGTCTTCGTTTTTATTACATCTGTGTATTGAGCTATAAATAGGGCCTGGGTGAAACATCATAAAGAATACTAAACTAAACTGATATATTTGTGCTATGAATATATACACTGATGTTGAAGAAATGGTAGTTTGATGTAATGTAAAACTATAAATTGGATATAAAGTGAACTTGACAGTGACAGTCGTGTACAATGATGCTATTTGATTTTGGTGAAGGAAAAGGGGAGGAGACAGCTACAGGTTTTTACTTTCATTTATGTCTTTGTGAATTGGATATAGAATGCGCTTGAATTGATTATAAAATGGCTCAAATTAGATTCTGACAGCTGATAAAACCGATGATATATCATATTAGCGCCTAATACTTTTCTATGCATAACAACGATATTTGAAAATCAAAATGTCGTCTTTGGTCATGTCCAACTAATGTCATAACTTTGTATATTCATCTATTTAGAAGGCTGTTGAGAATGAAAAATCAGAATAACGATACAGAAATTTAATTTCAAATAGTCTTTAATGCCTTTCAGTAGGAACTTTTGTGCACTATAAAACAAGAACTAAAATACATCATTAATCTTATTTGCATCTAAAAATTGTTTGTTGATGAGTTTATGAAATGGTTTGTCAATTATCAGTTCAACATAATATTTCCTTATTTTGCCAAACTATAACAGATAGCTAGTATGTAATAATTCCTCAAGGTATGTTGTTTTATATTTTATAGTTTTGTGCTTAGCTAATTATTTATGATTGTCAGAACTACCAAGGAATGTTGCATTACATAGATTTTTGGCTGATACTTCCAAGTAAGTAATTTACATGAATAGAATGGAGAATAGAATGATGAAATACCTATCAAAATATTTTTATTTAAAAGACAAGCTGAGCATTATGTCTCTTTACTACAAAACACTAGAATGATTCCAAGAACTTGACACAACCTCCACAAAATCAATGAGATGGAATTACAGCATCAGAGCCTTGCCTGAGACAATACCAAAATAAAGATGGCAAGTCTTAGAGATGTTGGAGAGTTGCCCCGAAAGACGGCTGAGAAATCGTCAAGACAGAAGAAGAGAGGGAGTTTTGAAGGTGACACAGACACAGTTCCAGAAAAGGCAACAGATAGGGCAGAGGAGATTGCTCAGTTCCTTCAGAGAATGAAAATAAAACAAGAACAGAATGGAGTGTGTGATGAAACCACAATTTCTGAAAATGGCCGTCACAACTGCCCCATACTCTGGTAAGCTTAGATAAGTAAAGTGTTCCTGTCAGTTATGTATTACATTGTAATGTTTTTACTTTTATATATATTTACAGCTTTCGTACCATTAGTTTTTCTTTTGTTTTTGTGAATAGTGTTGTGACTTTTGTGTTGTTACTGTGAAAAATATTAGGTTAATCTTTATGGTATGGACTCGCTAAGCTAGGACAAATTGAAAATGGTATTCTTGTAGAGAACTAAAAGTTGCAGTCATCAGTACAACAAATAATCTGCAGACACAAATGGTAACATCAGAAATAAAGGAAAAAGATTGTGGAAAGAGCCGCTTACAGCCTAAGTCCGCTCGGCACTCCCAAGTTTCAGCTTTATCTTGCTGTGGATACCGAGGTGAGGATAATGTCTGTTGTGGGGTGATGGGTAGACAGAGGCCCCCATCAACCCTCCCCTTGGGCAGTGCCTGAAGGGTATACCCAGTCACAGCAACTTAGATTGTTTAATAAAATATGTTATGTGGAGTTGGGCACATAGTCTCTGGCGAGTGTGTCCGTACTGTAAAAAATTGCCAAATATTGCTGTTTAAGCTTTATTCATAGGAGTAGTTGCAATGATGGTAGTAATAATAGAAGTGACAAAGGTCAGTAGATTTTTTCTTATTCCT